GTGGCACATCATATGTGTGGCACATCATATGTGTGGCACATCATATGCGTGGCAGTGAGAAAACAAGTGCAGAAATAGGTTCTGTCTTTCCGCCAACAGGGCCGTGGAGCTCAGCTCCGCTCGTCAGAGCTGAGAACTATCTTGTTGGCTCCTTCTATATTTTTAAAGTCACTTTATTTTAGGGCCAGGAATAGGGTGAGGCAGAGGTGGTATTTTTAGCTTAAGTACTCAGCATGAGTACTAAGGAGGCAAGATTCTGAGTACTGAGAAGGAGAGAGAGAGAATGAAAGAGAAAGAAAGACACACACACACACACACACACACACACACACACACACATACTCCTCACCACACTCTGTGCCCTGGGGGAGTCTCCTTGCTGCACCCAGTGTCTGCCCTTCCTGGATGTCTCAGGTCATCCTTCTCTGCTATGTTTCTTGCCTGATCCCCAGTCTTCACCAGAAGTCTCCCCTACCCCCCTGCTCAGTCCTCTATCAGAAGGTCTTTCTCCTGGGCTTCCTTCCAGGAGAGCTGATAGGAGATGTTCTACAGGATTGGCCTGTTTCATCTGAACTTCTAAGAAGAAAGTTCATGTCATGTCATCCCTCAGCCAACATGGTAATCGTTGGGCTCCATGCTATTCTAAAATCTGCCTGCCTGCCCACCATGGCTACTTATTTTCTCTAGTTGATATCCCCCTTTTCCTCTCCTTGCTTTCTCTACCCAGGGGCACTCCTCCATTAAGGAGAACAGTATTCTATTGCCTTTTCCCCTCGAAAGTGTTAAAGTCACCCAGAGTCTGTGGATGGGTATAGACAGCACGGAAGAACACAAGAAAGAAAATGTTTGCTCTTCTAAGAAAGAAAATGTTTGCTATCCAAGAAGAGCAGAAGATAATTTTTAAAATGAGGAGAGACAAAAAAAAGCTAATTTGAGAACAACACAATCATCATTGCTCAACCCTCTCCAACATCCAACAACTGAGTGACCAAGGCACCTAGCTGAGGCAAGAAAATAAGAAAAGACAATATTGAGGAGGGTGGAGAGGGCAATGATAAACTCTCCCTAATCCCAAGCAGGACAGCAGGGAAAGAGACACCTTCCATCTGAGGGCAGGACAGAGACTCAGAACCAAGCTTTGCCTCTGACCTGCTGCCACCCCAGTCAACTGGATACTAAGCAGCCCCCTACGAGGTCCAAGCTAGTGCTGTGACATGAGCCTCTGAGCCTGCTACACCCCACAGTCTTAGGCTCTTGGGTGACAGCTCACCTCATAATCTAGGTCCAGTTCCTTTGTAAAAGAACAGAGGAAGAAAAGCTTTAAAGATATAATAGAAAACTCTCCAAATGTATGGAAAGATGTAAACGTCCAGGTAGAAGGAGCAAGGTCTTCAGTCTGATTTAAGATATACCACAACAAATGAAGTTGAGTTCAAAATGTGGTTGGACAAGAGTATTACACAAAGCAAGCCAGGCACAGAACAGTAAAAGCTGCATGATCTCACTTTAGGTGGCTTGTGAAAGGGTCTGACTCAAAGAGTAAAGTGCCAGTGAGGAGGGGGACCGAGGCCATAATGGACAAAAAAAATTCACTCAGGAAGAATAACTTCAAAATGGATCCAACACCATATGAATATACTGTGTTCTCAAGAAGTCAGTGAGGTAATACATTTTAAGCATTATTACCACAAAAGTTTATGGAGATAATATGTATGTGTTGATGTAGCCATTCTAGACAGAATATTTAAAACATCATAGTGCCACTGAGATTGTGTGTGTGTGACGCTGGACTGGACGAAAGACTTCACACATGCCAGATAAACATTCCGACGCTGAGCATCACTGCCAACCCCAAATGTACATAATATTTTTCCCACAGGCAGTTTGGAAATGTGTTAAGTTTTTTTAAACAAACAAGCAAAACAAAATTATTTTCTTCATTCCAGGGCAATGAGCTGCGAGGCTCCAGGCCTGCATCCCTGTTGTTCAGTTGGACTTCCATAGGAATCTGACTTATTTATTATTTGCCTGCATATGTGCCTGGAGGCCAGAAGAGGGCACCAGATCTCACCATAGATGGTTGTGAGCTGCCATGTGGTTGCTGGGAATTGAACTCAGGACCTTTGGCAGAGCAGCCAGTGCTCTTAACCCCTGAGCCATCTCTCCAGCACCCTCACCTCTTGATTCTACTTATGGCTCCATCTGCATGTATGGCTACCCCTACCCTGGAAGGGGTTTGTGCCTTATGACTCCCTGGCCAACCCCTCTGACTCGTGATGTTTAAGCTCTTTTTCCCCCAGCAAGGCTTTCCCAACCCTTCACTTCTGGTGTTTCTTTCCCATCAACCGTCTCCAGGTCTCAAAAGTCCATCAAGTTCCAGCCTTGCCTCTTTGTGCCTGAGTAGTTTTCTTCTTGCACCAGACCTCAGCCCATTCCTCTGATCCCACTCAGAGCTTCTTGGCCCTTCATGCTCACATTCAGTCCATCTTACCTTCTGGCTCAGAATCTGGGCCTTGTGGTACGGTTGCTTGTTTCCTTCCGAGTTCAGTGCTGTCGCCGGTGGCAGCTCTTCCCAATCTGCTAATCTGGACAGCTTCACAGAGGTCTTCTGAGAGTCCATTTGCAGGCAGACTTACAGCTAGAACAGATTTTGTTCCATAATCATTTTATTTGCCCACTGAATCGGGATCCAATAGGAAGGAGAACTCACTCTAAGCTCTGAAGGCAGAGAGGGTTGAAAACTGGGGGAGGGGCTAAAGGAAAGACAGGATGATCAGGGTTCAGAATCTGGAGCAGGGTTGGCCTGAAGGGGGGCCATGGGGCCATGGCAGAGATGCAGCTGCTGCCAAACTGAGGCCGAAAATAAGGTGAGGGGATCCTTTGCTTTCTCTCTTCTATCTCTTTCTCTCTCTCTCTCCCTCCCCCTCCCTCTCTCTCTCTCTCTCTCATCTCTCCCTCTCTGGGACAGTGTTTCTCTGTGCAGACTTGACTGTCCTGTAGACCAGGCTGGCCTCAAGCTCACAGAGATCTGCCTGCTTCTGCCTCCCAGAACCCTGGGATCACAAGACTGTGCCACTGTGCTCTGCTTTTTCCATTCTCTATAAGCTTTGGCAAATGTCTCTCTTGTTAAAAATACTGTAGGAAGCTGGGCAAAAGGGAACTTGTCAAGGAAGAAAGCAGGGGCCTGAGGCCAGAGGTAAGGGTCAGAGCCAAGCACAGGCTGGGTAGGGAACGAGTTCCAGAGCAAACAAATATGGATTGATACCCCATCTTTCACTACAGATAGCCTCGCTGAACCATGGTGGGTTCTGTCTACATGACCTATTCTATTCTATTCTATTCTATTCTATTCTATTCTATTCTATTCT